CACGCGCACGCGCACGCGCACTCACGCACGCGTACACGCACACGCAAACGCACACAGGCACGCGCACACGCACACGCATACGCACACACACAGGCACAGGCACATGCACAGGCACAGGCACAGGCGCAGGCACAGGCACAGGCACAGGCACACGCACACGCACACGCACACGCACACGCACACGCACACCCACGCTGACGCGCACAGGCACACGCACACGCACGCGCATGCGCACACGCACGTGCATGCGCGCACGCACGCGCACACGCACGCGCAAACGCACACGCACACGCACACGCGACCGCACACGCGCACTCACGCGCACACGTTCACGCACACGCACACGCGAGCACGCACGCGCACCCCTGCACACGCACACACACACACACACGCAAACGCACGCAAACGTGCACACGCACGCGCACGCGCACACGCACACGCACACGCACACGCACGCGCACACGCACGCGCACATGCACGCGCACTCACGCGCCCACGCTCACGCACAACAACGCGCACACGTTTGCACACGCACACGCACGCAAACGCGCGCGCGCACACGCACACCCACGCGCACACGCACGCGCAAACGCACGCGCACACCCACACGCATTCGCACGTGCGCTCGCACGCACACGCACGCGCACACGCGCACACGCGAACGCACACGCACACGCACACGCGCACGTGCACGCACATGCGCACGTACGCGCACGCGCACACGCACTCGTGCGCACACGCACATGCACACGCACACGCACACGCGCGCGCACACGCGCACGCACACACACACACACACTCGCGCTCCTTCGCACGCACGCGCACGCGCACACACACGCACGCACACACGCACACGCACACGCAAACACGCGCGCACACGCACGCCGACACGCACACGCACTCGCATACGCACGCGCACGCGCACACGCGCCCGCGCCCGCGCCTGCATGCGCACGCGCGCCTGTTGGCGCGCCGGGATGTGCACTGTCAGCGCGTGGTGCCGTGGGTCGGCGCCGGGCAGATGTGCCAGCGCTGGGCTGGAGGAGTCGCCCAGTGCACCGGGCGAAGGAGAAGCTCTGACGGGGGCGCGCTGATGAGAGCGGCAATTGCGCGGAGACACGCCAGCTCAGACGCTTCATTTTTTGTTTTGGGCTGGCCGCGCGCAACTAGGCGCTGGCCATCTCCGTTGGCAAAGGGGCGCGGCAGGTCCAGAGTGCACTGCCAGTCGGCCCTGGCAGAGCCCGGCGCCGAGAATTCCTTTCGCTTCGTTATGGCCTGCACTATCTGCCCGCCGTGGTACTTCGGGCGCGTGGATGCATGGTTGACCAGCAGTGCGTGCCGCGAAAAATCCTGCGGGCGCGGTGCTAAAAAATATGCGCTTCAACTGCCATGGCGCCCGCCTGCGCGAGAGGTTGCGCGGGCAGGCGCGAGCCTGACAGCCGCGACCGCCAACGGCTCGGCGCACCTGCGGCGGCGCGGCCAGAGCGGGAACGTCCACGGCGATGTAAATGGTAGGAGTGGCGACGCGCGCCACGATTGCAACTGCGATCGCGACGGTGACGATGGCGCGGGAAGCGTCGACGCAAGGCACTGGGGACACCGCGCGGGGGCAACTGGGGCATTTCGCTGTCGATTTCACTGTCGACCTCACTCTCGATCTCACCATCGATCTCATGATCGATCTCACGATCGATCTTCTCATCAATCGCGCTATCGATCTCATTGTCGATATTACCATCGATCTTGCTATCGGTTTCACAATCGATCTCACTTGCGATCCTACTCGCAATCTCTCAACAGATCTTACGAGACACCATCTGGACGCCGCGATGGGGCGCCCCCCGCCACGGCGGGCCCTCCCCGCCAAAGATCTGTTGTGATCGATCTCACTATCGATCTCACTATCGATCTCACTATCCGTCCCTCGATTTCACAATCGATCACGCAATCGATCTCGCTATCGATCTCATTCTCAATCTCACAACAGATCTCACGAGCTACCATCGGGACACCCCAGACCACTGTCGGGACACCCCGCGCCACCGACGGGGCACCGCCGCGCCAAGGACGGGCTCCCCCCGACCAGGCCACCTGTGGGGGGTTCTCCCTTCTACTGCGATCTCACCCCGTCGCCTCCGACGATCGTGATGGCAAAGATGGCGCTGGGACCTCCGATGCAAGTCGCCTGGGACACCGCGTGGGCGTCGCTGGAACATCTCGCTGTCGATCTCATTGTCGACCTCATTGTCGATCCCACTATCGGTCCCATTACGGATCTCACTGTCGACCTCACTGTTGATCTCACGATCGATATCACTTTGATCTCACCAGCGATCTCTCAATCGATTTCACGTTCGTTTTTATCATTGGTCTTCTAACATCTTGCACCAACGATCTCTCACATCGAGCGGCGCTCAGTACGATCGAGAGACCAGCAGGACAATATCGCGACACCATTGGAACACCAGCGGGCCAGATGAATGCCACCACACCAGCCATTACGGTCACTACCTTCGCCGGGCCACTATGGAAGGTAAGCGGCAATGGCGGCGACGATGTTAGCACTGGTGAATTGCGCTCGTGTTGTCTGCAGGCCCGGTCGCGCGGAAGCTGGCGGCGCAAGACCCGACATAACCCGGCGATGCCTGGGCCAAGGAGCCTGGCAGAACGCGCGCCCACACAATGAGGCTCTGCCGCTGCTCCCCCGCTCCCGCGCCCAGCCATGCCAGGCGTGCCGCGCGACGGGCGGCGGTGCCGAGCGCCGCGCGGCACTTCCGCTCGGGTGAGCGAAGTCGCGAGCCTCCCGACCGCGTGGCTCCACGGCTGGTCGCCCGACGGCGGGGTCGCAAGCCTCCCGGGCCGACGGCGGCGCCCGACGCACTGGCAGGGACGGGCGCCGCGACCTCCGACGCGCCCGCTCGAGGCGCATTCGCAGTGCTGCCTGGCGCGCGCCGAAACATGGGCTCTGAGCAAGCCGCGCTGAGGGAACGAGAAAAAGTGGAGAAGGGATTAGACTAGAGGGGGTGAGGAGGTAGGCAGAGGAGGAGGGAGGGGGAAGGCGTAGACCTCTGTCCTGCAGGTTGGGCCAGACGTCGATGACGATCACGGCCCCGCTCGCTGCCGGCAGGCTTGCCACCGCGCCCTTGAGGTCCACCCGCCATTGATGCACGCCGCGCTCCCAGGTGCGCCTGGGCAGCTTCCTGTCCGTAGGGCCTGGCGTTCTGGGCCTCGGGGCGTGCGGGTCCGCCGTCCGCCGTGGCCGTCCGCCGTCCGACGGTCACGACGCCCGCCGCGCGGTGCGCCGACCGCCTCGGCCACGCCTCCTCGTTGCACCCCTCGTTGGCCCCGATCGGGCTGCGGTTCCTCCTCCGCCGCTCCTCGGCGGGCCACGGCACGCGGAGTGGCTTCTCCAGCACTGGAAGGCCACGTCGTCCACGGACACTGGCAGGTCGACGTACATCGGCTCGCTCGGCCAGGGGACGCGCAGAAACTCGCCCGACGCGTCGGCGCCCGCGGAGCCTCCTGCTGCCTCGGCATCGGCCGGGCGCGGGGGCTTTCAAGTCCATGCGCCACTGCCGCACGCTCTTCTCCCGGGCGCGTTTGTTCACCGCCGGCTCCCTCGGGCCCGGCGTGAGGGGCCTAGCGGCTAAGCGAAGTGCCCCGCCACCGCGCCATGATCCCCCGCCCCGCTTGACCGCCGCAATGCACGCTTCCCGGTGCTGCGCCCGGCGCTCCCGCTCATCCCATTCACGCAGCCCCAGAGGCAGCATCACCACAGACCTGGACATCGCTGCCGTCGAACCTCAGGAGCTATCCCTCGCTCCTGCACGTGGTTCGCCCAAGCCACCCCGCGCGGCGCGCGGTTCGTCCAATCCCAGCGCGGAAGCCCCGCACCTGGAACCAGAGGCTTGAACCAAAATGGTTACCGAGGCCTCTTGGGGCTCTCTTGAGGGCCTCAGTGGAACCTGTCGGCCTTGACGCCTAGAGCGGGCGCTTTTCGTGACGTGAGCGGCACCGCGACCGATTTCACGGTCGATCCCATTATCGATCGCACTATCGATCTCTCGATTTCGCGATCGACCTCGCGATCCCGATCGATCACGCAATCTATCTCACTATCGATCTCACGATGGATCTCACAACATATCTCACGAGCTGACAGCGAGACACCTCGGCGGGACACCCTGAGACACCGACGGGGCACCCCGCGCCACCGACGGGGCACCCCCGCGCCACCGACGGGGCACCCCCGCGCCACCGACGGGGCGCCACACCCGCGCGCCTTCTGGTGAGGGGGCGGTCAAACGGTTCCACGGTCCCTAGCCACGGCGGAATCATTCCTATCGCGCGCCCACGCAGCTTCGCTTCGCCCGCACGCTCGATACGAAGACGAAACCGAAACTGATTTCCGAGTGGGGGGTTTTCCGTTCACCTCACCCCCCAACCTCCGACTCACATACACACACGTAGAGACACGGAACGGTCGATAGCGAGAGAGGAGGAGCGAGGTGCGTAGCATCCAAGTTTTGGCTGTTGCCGAATACTAGGTCGTTCGGTGTTGCGCGGGATGCCACGAGATACTCGGTAAGTTCCTGGTGCCATGTCGTGCGGTGCCACGTGGCATGCTGAGAAGGCGGGGGTGACTGCCAAGGACCATGCCGTCCGGTGCCTGTGGAGCCCTGATTGCGGCCAAGAGGTTGGCGTCGGAATCGGTTGCGAGCCCGATTGCCCAGTGCCCTGCTGTGCGGTGCGGTGATGTACTTTGTTGGATGCCGCGAAGTCGGATGCGATTGTTTGGGGTCGTGATGTGGTGTCAAGTGGTGGTGGGTTGCATGAGCATTCGTGGCGGTTGCCCGTTGACATTACACTTGGTGTGGTGTGACTTGCCACAAGGTCGGATGCGATTGTCTGGTACCTTACGGCGAGGTGCTGTGCCGTACCGTGCCTGATTTCTGACCACGCTGCAGTCGTGATAGCGAATTGAACCATCTTGGCCTAGATTGTTTCACTTTGGAGGGCATCGTGGGCTAAGTGGGGAGATTTTAGAGCCATGTTGGTCCATCTTAAACCGCTCGAGCTGCTCGCGCCCACCGCGGTCCAGACCCAGAAGAGGGGGTAATGCAAGAGGGGTGTGGAATGACTATCTCGCTAAACCACCTGCGCCCAGAGGATTGGTAGGATTCATGTCCTCCTTCCAGTTCCACTGAACACGAGTGTCGGATCTCTTCTGTGGGTTTACTTGGTCCTGGGGTCTTAAGTCTACTGTTGAAGGCAGAAGAACGCGGAAGACAGAAGAACGGGGCGCTACCGTGACTGGCATGCTATTCATTGCGTAGGGCAGGCTGGCAGTTCTGAGCTTTCGGGCGACGGGAGGCAGTGACAGCAGCCAGCCTGATTATCTCGACGGGTCTTGCCTCGTGTATGCTGAGGACCGCACCCCGCTCTACCGTGGTCACTTTCTCTTGTGCCTACCGCTCATTGTCGGCCGCTCCTTTCCGCAGCTAGCTGACGCATCTCAGTTTTCGCTTCTGTTTCTGCCTAATTCTTCGTTCTTGCCTCTACCTCTACCTTCGCATGTCTGCCGGTATGTTTCTGTACCTGCGGTTCTCTGTGTCTCTGCGTCTATGCGTCTCTGCGTCTCTGTGTCTCGTCCATCACCTCAGTCCAAGTCTCTGTCGCTCGCTCTCCCTCCCTCTTTGCGTCTCCTATCTTTCCTTTCCCCATGACTATTTCATCTTCCCTCTCTCTTTCTCTGGCCCGCGTCACTTGAGAACAAGGCGCGGTCACAGGTGCATACCCCTAAACAGTCCTGAATCCGCACGGGCCTGCTGGATACGCCCCATCCCAGGGCGGAACTAATCTGCACAACCATCATTCCGTATCGCGCCGCCATGTCTTGTTCCACCGCTCCAGCTTCGAACCGAGCGGTGACCACCGCGTGGCCTACTAATTCGGCGACCCGACATCCCCGACTCCGGAGGGCAGCAGCCGCCTCGAGCCGTGCTTCGCTCCCTTTGCATCGGCCACCACGTCTGGCGCATCGTTTTCAAGTCGTCCAGCACGGGAACTAATTATTTCGAGTACCTGTTTTTGACGACAAGGTGCTTCCCGATCCACCTGCGCACGATCCTCACGATCGTCCATTTGATCCACATGAAGACCTCCCACTGAGAGAGCTTCGGGCACTCCGTGTCGATCTTCGTGACGTTAGCGACGACCTTCGTGCTCTTCGCGCCGTGCTTCTATGCCCCCCCGTGCGCCAGGGTGACCCTCATCCTCTGCGTGGCGTTCTACCTGGTGACCTCCAAGATCAGCGAGGTGACCTACGTGGCGCCCTACGTGACCTTCAGGTCGCCCTCCACGCCGAGACCCCACAGGCCAGCCTGCAGGGAGGACGCCAGGCCGGAGTTGCAGCAAGCCCCTATGTGCCAGAGCATCATGGCCCAACCGACGGGCCTCCGCCGACTGCCACTGGAACTGACCATGGCCGCCATGCCAAAATTGCATCCAACCCAACACCGCGTGGTAGTTCATAATGCCCTTCCCCGTGAAAGTCCGCCGACTATCACTGGCACCAGCCAACGGGGCCGCCAGGCCCACACTGCAGCCAGACCACCCGCCGTGGTTCATTGCGACCCCCCACCGGGGCTGTTTGAGCGTCCGCGGATTCTCGAGGGCATCAGCCGCGGGTGCCACCAGGCCCACGCAGCAGCCAGCCCTTCCGCCGTGGTTCACTGCGACCCTCCAGCCGAGTGTCCGACGACCGCCGCTGGGGCGGCTCAGTGTGGCCACCAGGCCAACGCTCCAGCTAGTCCGCGTGACGTCGCCCAAGGCGCAGTCTGTTGCGACTCTCCTTCCCGGCGTCTTCCAGCTCGCAGGGGCATTGGCCACGGGGGCCACCAGGCCCACGTTGCAGCCACTCCCCCCTGACGTTGTCCCCCGTGGCCCGTACCCCTGGCGCCAAGGGGGAATCCCCAGGCGGGCCACTAGACCCAGCCTGAACTGGAAAGGCCTCAGTCTACCCACCGCCCCGCCTGCCAACGATGGAAGGGGCCGAATCTTTGACCCTTCCAATCGCTTGATCAAGGGTCCGCAGACGACCGACGGACCCCGCGACGTCCGACGACCGTTCGCCGACCGGGTGACGACAAGCCAGCCGGCGCTGACCGGACTGACGACCGCCCGCCCGCAGCCCGCCGGCCCTCTGACCCCTGACCATGACCATCCGACGACCGCCGACGACCGTCCGCCGACCGCCAGTCCTGACTGCCGACGACCGACCGATGACTGTTCGACATTTGACGACGACGACCGACGACCGCATACTATCTACTGACCAACGCTTGCCCCCGCGCGGTACGTGGTACCAGCGACGGACCCCCGGAAGTGCGTCACGCCCACATCCGAGTGTCCAGCTGGCCACCTGGGCGCCGCTGCGAGCGTCGCCCCAACGGTTCGCGCCACGCCGCGCCGAGGGGCGCGCCGAGGCACCTGCAGCCAGGCTCGCTGCTCGCGTGCGCCAAGCGCCGCACGCAGAGGAGGAAGCTGACAATCTCCCTTGCCATTGCATCCCTCAGCACAGCACCGCTCGGCCGCCAGTGACAACGCCAGCGCCGCCACCCAGTGCGTCGGGATCATCAGAGCCCACCTGGGCCAACGTATCGACAGGATGGACCGGTGCACGTGCTGCCGACACCGGTTTCGCCCCTTACCTTTACCTCCGCGTATCCACGACGGTGCCGAGGTGACGGTTCCCAAACATGGGGCGCGACCCCGTCGCCGGCCTCCGCGGCGCCGTCGTCGGCCGAACGGGGAACACAGCCAGTATCGGGTGGTCCAGACGACCAGCGTAACACTGACCACCTGCGCGCGTCCAGCTTGACAGCTGCCCCCTACAGGGGAGAAGGCCTTCGACGCCCCGCCGCCGACCAGCAAACCATCGTCCGATGATCGAGTGCGCCTGAACGCTGCCCGTCCGACGACTGCCCGACGACCGTGCAACGACAGTGCGCCGACAATCGCCGCTGTCGGCCGCCGAACGAACGTCGACCGACCGACGCGCGCGCCTGACGACCACGTAGCAGTGCCCGCGGCAGCCACCTGGCTTGCTGCTCGCGTGCACCGAATGCCGCATTCAGCAGACAGGGTCACTGACCATCCTCCTTGCGGGGAGAAGCCCTTCGACGTCTCGCCTCCGACCGGCTGACTTGCGCCCGACGAGCGACTACTCCCGTCCGCAGCCCTTTCCGACGACGGCCCGACGACCATCAAATTTACGACGTCCTGTGGTTCCCTGCGGCCCCCGACGGCCCCCCGCGGCCTCCGTTGCCACCGGGCCGTTGCGCCATCTCACTTTGGGCGCTTGCCACTTACCTGATTCACCCCGCTTCGTTTGCTGACCTCCGACCCGCCCTCGAATCCTGGGGGCCGCGGAAGAAGGCCGTTCCCTGGCCCGACACGTTGACAGCGGAGAAGTGCTTCAGGCTCCGCGCGCTAGCACTGCGTTCCCTGCCGCGTGCCTTGCCCAGGACTACGCGACTGACCCTAGCATGCCGCTTCTGTGCCCTCAGTTTTTGCCTTGACGACACCACTGGCGCAAACCATGGCGGCATGGGCGCAATGGTCACGCGCGCCGTCTTCCGACGCCTCACCGCGGAAACGGACGACGCTCCTGGCCGATACACGTTTGGACTAAACGCCTTCAACCACCGCTTGGGCTCGACGTGCCACGGCGACGACGACTTCGGCCGACCCTGTACTCCGGCGCAGTCTGACGACTGACCGACGGCTTGGCTGCTTCTTGGGGGCACCAACCCCATGCTTCTTGCTGCCCCTCGGCGCCGCTGTCATGACCGCCGTCTGCCACTGCCGTTCTTCGTCTGCCTCTCGGGCGAGTGCCACAAGGTGCAATCCCCGCGCGGTTACAGGACCAGCTTGCTCGGCACATGGCAAGCGCTGTCGGGTGAGGGCTTCTGGATACGCCCTGTGTGCAAGCTGCGACCAGGGGCCCGACTTCCTGTCGCATTATGAGGCCTTCCCACCCTTTCCGCGCTCGGCCCCCCCCCCCACGCGGGGTGTGAGCCCCTTTGCGCGCCGAGGGGTGGCGGGGCCCTTGCGCCTCCCTTGTTCCTGCTTGGCCCCCTCGCTGGCGGTGCCTCCTGGGGAGGAGGAGGAGGAGGAGGAGGAGGAGGAGGAGGAGGAGGAGGAGGAGGAGAGGAGGAGGAGGAGGAGGAGGAGGAGGAGCAGGAGGAGGAGGAGGAGGAGGAGGAGGAGGAGGAGGAGGAGGAGGAGGAGGAGGAGGGAGGAGGAGGAGGAGGAGGGGAGGAGGAGGAGGAGGAGGAGGAGGAGCAGGAGGAGGAGGAGGAGGAGCAGGAGGAGGAGGAGGAGGAGGAGGAAGGAGGAGGAGGAGGAGGAGGAGGAGGAGGAGGAGGAGGAGGAGGAGGAGGAGCATTGCCCCCCTCGCTGGCGGTGCCTCTCGGCGCCGCTGGCGCAGGGCCAGTCGGGCCCGGGGGCGGCCGCGCTTGCGCTGCCGCTGGCTCGCCCCGTCGCCCCTCGGTTCTCGCAGGGGGGGGGGCCTTGCGCCCCCCCGCTGGGTTGGGCCGTCCTGGCCTCCGATACAGTCAAGCCGCATAGTAAGGATGGGCAACCTTCCCAAGGGTACCCTTGCATCCTTGCCTCCTCGGTCCATCCTTCGCCGCTTTCGCTGGCCGCGCCCCGCTCGAAAAGCTTCGAAATGGGCGCCCAAGGCCCTTGTATCCTTGTCGCGCATCCTTGCTATACTGGTTGACTGTCATTGGCGTTTACTCAACGGCCCTGGGCGTTTACTAAAGGGTGCGTTTCCTAAACGGCCTCGCTTGTCGGGGTGGTTATTGTGGGGGTGGATTTTTTGGCACTATATTTTTGTCGCGTGGGGCACAGACCCACGGATCACGCCGCGCGCCGCGGCGGGGGCTGCCCCGCCCGGCGCCGCCTGGGGGCCCCGAGGCGCGCGCGCGCCCAGGCGCGCTCAGAGCGCCGAGGCCGCGCTGCAGCTGCGGGCGCGCAGGGGGGGCGTGCCGCGCCCTCGGGACCGCGCCCGGCCAGTTCTTGCCAGTCGGGGTCCCCTTCGACCGCGCCACGGGGGGAGGTCCATGCCGTCCCTGCCGTTTGCACGCCGCACCTCCCGCCACTGAGGTGCGAGCAGGAGGCGACTGTACCCTTCGCCTGCGGACCAGACCTGGTCCGAACTGCGGCGCGCGATGTGTCTCTGTCTCTGTCTCTGTCTCTGTCTCTGCCTCTGCCTCTGTCTCTATCCCTCACTTTCTCCCTCCCTCCCTCCCTCCCTCCCTCCCTCCCCCCCTTCCCCCCTCCCTCTCTTACTCATTCTCTTTTTTTCTCTTTCTCTCTCTCTCTCTCTCTTCATATTTCGCTCTCTCTCTGTCTGTCTTTTTCCATCCCTCTCTCTCTCTCCCTCTCCCTCCCTCCCCTCTCTCTCTCCCATGCCCATGAGGCGCTCCCCCCCGTGCCCCATGTATGGAGGTCGAGTGAGGACGGATCTGATATGATCCCATCCTGGGGCCGCGCGGAGGGGCGGCGAAGAGCAGCCTGCGCTCTCTTTGCCGCGTTCCCCCACAACCAGGGGCCTCGGACCGCGTAGAGATCCCGTTTGTGGGCCGCCGGTGTCGGGCGGGTGGTAACGGGGGGTGACCCGCGTGGGGGGTGAAGAAAAGGGGCCCTGACTGGGGCACTCCAGGGCCCCCTTTGGGCCCCTGCTGGCTCCCAAAGGGACCCTACGATGCCCCTTGCGGGCCCCGTCTCTTCGCCCCCCAGCTGGGCCACCCCCCGTTACCACCCGCCCGACGATGGCAGTGAAGATCTCTCCCTGGAGCCCGCCCCCTCTCCCCTCAGCCGGGATCGCCGGGCGGGCGGGTCGGGTCGGGCAGGGTCGTCCCCTCCTCCTCCTCCTCTGCCCGCCTGCTTTCCTCGTGGGGTGTCGGAGGTGGACAGACCCCCTACCCTGACACGTCGCTTGGCGAATTGGCCGTTTTCGGTTCGCGGGAGGGAGTCGCGGTCGTCATTTCTGCGGGTCCAGGTCCGTCGGTTTCGGTCCCAGGCCGTTTTCGCTAAAGGGCCGGTTCAACTACTAAAGGGAGGTTTGTCCACCGCCGAGGGTGACTCCCTCTCCCGCACGTGCGGCGTGCGGCGACCAGGCTGTGTGGGTGGGATCGGACGAGCCCCAGGCAAGCGCTCCCTGGCTGGCCCCTCCCCCGCCGCCGAGGGGGTCTCCGTGTTGCCCCTCCCGCTTCGCTCTGGCCTGGGCCCGGGGCAGAGGTGATCGCTCGAGGTGGTTGGTACCCTGGGAGGCCCGTGCTGATTTCGTGCGACGGCGCCCGGCCCGCCTGGTGGCGCCTCCGGCCCCGGTTTCTGCTCGTGCCGCGCGCCTCTGCTCGTGCCGCGCCTGGGAAGGGGGTCCAGCGTCGCCCCAAGAATTTGCACGGGCACCTGGAAGAGCACAGCATTCACATCTTCCGGCGGCGAGCAGAGGGGGGTAGGGGGAGGGGGGGAGGCTTCTTAGAAGCACCCCTTCTTCTTGGAAGGCGCGGGCCTTGTCTATAGATGTAAGGCCCGCGCCTTCTAAGAGGCAGGGGTGCTTCTAAGAAGCCTCCCCCCCTCCCCCTACCCCCTTGAGCGCGCCGCCGAATCTTTCCCCTCCCCCCCTCGAGCGCTGGCGGTCAGTCGTCCAGAGCCGTCGCAGCAAGGTCGCTTGCGAACCCTCTCCGGGCCGCGGCTCTCTGCAGAACGGAGGCTGCCTCCGACGCTTCTGCCGCCATCTCAATGGGAGCACACCAGCCCAATTCTCTTCAGCTCCCGCTCCCGCTCCCTCTTCCTCTTCCTCTTCGTCGTCCCATGAATCGTCCTCTGCCTTTGCCTCTGCCTTTTCCTCTTCCTCTCCCCCCTTTTGTGCCCTTCGTCCAGTCATCGTTTTCCGTTTTATGCCAACATGCGGAAGCTCCGACTTGCTGCAGTGCTTTCAGGAGCGGCTTCTGGATGTGGTGGATTTCCGCGGTGCCCACAGCGCCAACATGCACGGGTGCCAAGGCCTCCGAGCGGCGATGGGGAGGGCGGGTGGTGCGTTTGTAGGAGAGGGGATGGGGACCATTGGCCCAGACATCCGACAAGGTTTTTTTTGTTTGACATCCGCGTCCCGTCTCTCCCGACCCCTTCCTTGGGGCAGTTCTTCAGCCCAGATCCGTTTCTGATGGCCCGCCTGGCCAGAAGACGTCCTCTCGAGGCCGAGGCTTTGGCGAAAGCGCCGCCGGGGTTGAACAAGTCGCCCCATTGGAGGTCTGGCTGGAGGCGCCTTGGGCCTGCGGTGCAAACAAACCTCCGCCCCGGCCGGAGGCCAGAAGGTCAGCACTGCCACGTTCGAGTGGAGCGCCGGGAGGGGCAGCGGCGCTGCCGTCCTGCACTCCGGCGACGTGATGACTTCGGACGGCGGTACCCACGTCATCCGAGTACAGGCCAGGCCCAAGGGAGGGGGGTGGAGGGTCATAGGAGGGCGAGTTGAGGGTCAGAGGAGGGTGAACTGAGGCAGCGGTAGTTGCTTTTCGGGGGGCTCCCTCGTCGCCACGGCTGGACGCAGCTCGGAAAACTGGTTCGTTTGGACCCCGGGAGGGGTCCAGGGACCGAGTTTGAGCTGCCGTTGTCTCAACTCGCCCTGCTCCGAGTGGAGGTGAGGGGAAGAAATCCACTCCGCCAAAATGATGGGATGGAAGCAGGTGGCGTCGGCAGATCGCGCCGAATCGCCAATACATTAAGGGGCCCGGACCGACCATGTTTAAGTATGTCTGCGTGCATCAGAAGGAAAACCTCCCAACATAAAACCACGAACGAAGTCACATGAAACTACAAGAAGCTATGAAGTGTAAATAATCGCATGGGAAGAATGACGCCACAAGAACCTACAAGAAACGATGGCCCCGCGGGATACTAGCGGTGCCACCGTCGCCGACGTCATCGTCGCCGTCAGCGTCATTGCCGCCGTCGTCGTCGGCGTCGTCGGCGTCGTCGTCGTCGTCGTCGTCGTCGTCGTCGTCGTCGTCTTCGTCGCAATCGCCGCCGTCCTGGTCACCGCCGCCGTTGCTGTCGCCGTTCTCGTCACCGTCGCCGTCGCCGCCGCCGCTGCTGTCGCCAGAGTCGTCCTCGCAATTGTTGTCGCCGTCCCCGCCGTCGTCTTCGCCGTCCGCGTTGTTGTTGTTGTTGTTGCCGTCGTCGGCGCCGCCGCCGCCGCCGTCGCAATCGGCGTGGACGCCGTCCTTACCGTCATTGGCGCCGTCGTCGCCGCTGCCGGCGGCGCCGTCGCCACCGCTGCTGTCGCCTCAGTGCTTGTCGCCGTCGCCGTCATCGTCGTCGTCGTCGCCGTCGGTCGCCATCGCCGTCAGCGTTGCTGTTGCTGGTGTCGTCCGCACAATCGTTGCCGCCGTCTTCGTCATTTTCGCCGTCCGCGTCGTTGTTGTTGCTGTCGTCGGCGTCGCCGCCGCCGTCGTCGTCGCCGTCGTCGTCACCGTCGCTGTCGTGGGCGTGGCCGCCGTCGTTGCCATCGGTGCTGTCGCCTCCGCTCCCGTCGTCGTTTTTGTCGCCGTTGCTGTCGTCGTCACAGCCGTCGGTCGGCGTCGTCGTCGCCGGCGTCGTGGGCGTCGCCGTCGTCGCCCCCGCCGCCCGCGCAGTCGTCGTCGCCGCTGTCGCCGCCGTCCCCTCCCTCCTCTTGTCCTGGAAACCCCTCCTTCGCCGCAGCCGAGGCCCGAACCGTAGTTGCTGGCATTTTGCCCCGCACGCGCTTTTCCAGGGAGCTGGACATGCAGATCTTTGTCAAGACGCTGACCGGCAAGACCTTCAGGCTGAGCGTCGAGCCCCTTACCACCATCATCACCATCAAAGGCATCATCCAGGATTTGGAGGGCATCACTCCGGAGACGCAGCACTTGATCTACATGATGAGGCAGCTGGAGGACAGGCGGAGCCTGCACTACTTCAACATCCAGAAGGGCGCGACGCTCCACTTACTCCTTCTTCTTCGTGGCGGTCCGGGCCTGCCAGCCCCGCCAGACACTCCCGGGGCTGATCCTGGAGCTGCTCCGGCCCTGGTGAACGGACGATGCGCCATGTGCCTCGCTGCGGGCCTGGACGGAATGGCACTTCCCGGGGGCGCCCTCTGCGCCGTGCATGCGGCGGCCGCCACCACTGGCGCAGTTGCGCCCACTGGCGCCGCTGGCGCTGCGCCGCCGGAAGGGACCGTGCTCCGATTGGCGCGGGCGCTCGAGACGGCCGCAGCTGGAGGCGGCTCTGCCGACACGGGTCTCTCGCAGGAGATCTCACGCATGGCATTGCAGGCCCCGCCAGGCTTGCCGGTGCATGCCCTCACGGAGTACTCGGATCGCATGTTGTACGAGCTGGGCGAGGAGGAGCTCTTGGCGCACTCGCTGGTGATCAACGCGCTGGTGGCTACTAGGCAGATGCGGCCTACCAGTTTAGCAAGATCCTCACTTACTGGATGGGCGTCGCTGCGGGCTTTCTTGGAATCTTTGGCCTTCCGTGCGGATCTGGACGACCATTGGGCACGTTTGGGGCTGTGCCCGTATGAAGGGCCACCTCCGGATGCTGCGTGCATTGACCGCCGATGGTTGCGCGCACGATTGTTTCTATCCTGCTCGACGGCGGCGGGATGGTCTGAGGACGACCGGGACCTGGCCGAAACCGCTCGCGACAGACTTGAGCAAGCGCACGCCTCTTGTCTGGATGACCTTCGTCGGGTACTCGCAGTACGCCGGCGTGAGCGTGGCGACGCACTCCCCCGTTGGCAGGAACTTGGTGCGACGGCGGTGGAGCTACTGCTGAACACGCCAGCCTCCGAGGGGGAGATCGTGGCCACCCAGCTGTCTGATGTCGCCCTGCTCCCGCAGCACATGCAGACACACCCTCGGTTACTTGCTCCCGGGCCAGCCCGTCGCCTATCCCAGACGGCTGCGGAAGGTAAGGACTTCTTCTCCTTGCTGGGTACGGGGGGCGCGATCATGTGGGCTCCCACCGATTCTGCAGCCCTGGGGCGCCTGCTATCGAATTACATGCGCCGAGCGGCTCTTGAACAGCAGCACCGTCCCCTCCGATTGATCGTGCCGCTCGACGTTTACCCCGGCTGCGCCACGACCAGCATGATCAAGGACTTGTTTTGGCACGCTCTTATGGGGGAGCGATTGGTGCGCGAGCAGGCGTTCGTCCACCAGGAGCTTCAAATGGTCATGTCGGGGGCGGGCGGGCCCATAAACTCCAGCAAGGGGTTGTTCATCGCCACGGTTTCCCCTAACTTGCCGATCGCTGTCCCGAAGATCCTGTCCGTGGCGGAGCCGCTCTTCACGATGAGCATCGGCCAGTCATTCTACGTTGACTGCCCGCTTTCGCGAATACCCGCTGCAGTGGTGGCTGTGGAGACCGTGGGCGCCGCGCTGGCCGCCAGAGTCGGTCCTATATTGAGGAGCCCGTCGTCGTCGGCAGATCTTCCCAGAGCTCGTTTCGAGGTGTTGTTACCTGTCGGCCGCGCCACGGACCTCGACCTAACCCTCTTCATCAGACACCTTCGGCACGCACACCTTCCAGCAGGGACGTTCGTGGGCTCTCGGCAGCTCTACTCGGACAACAACTGCCTGCTTGTGGAGCTGACAGCCCCGTCAGCTTTCCTATCGGTATGGCACCTCTGTGAGGAGGCCGTCTTCATTAAGCCCAAGGTGGTCACTATCCGCACCGCCGTGCAGCCCGACGACTGGCGGGTTGTGCTGGATGAGATGCTGGCACAGGACGTGGGCAACTGTGTCTTGAAAGTCCGCCATCGCCCTTCCAGGCAGGGAGGGCGCCCCTGGGTCACCCCGACGGCGACTCCGCAGCATATGGCATCGATCCGGCGGGCTGGCGCCGGGGGGGCATCCCGAGGGAGGCATGCAACCACGACGTCTACGTTGACTTTGGCGGGAAGCCTCGGCCATGACCCAGCACGTGTAGCCAGACGCCTCATGGAGGTGATCCGAGACAGGACCGGCATTGTGCTCCGGGAGGCTGGGGAGGACGCGGGCGCAGGCAGTGGCACGTGGCTCCGCCTCGCGGATCGCGACTCCGCCGCCCATCCAGGCAGACTGCAGTTACGCTTGGAGACGCTGGAGGACGCGAGCCGGATCATGCAAGAGGTGCACGGGCGTGCTGTGCAGCTGGGCTCGGACCTCATCAGCGTGAGCCTCACGAACGACGAGCTGGAGGCGCAGCAGGGAAACGTCAGACGGGGACGGGGGGGCCGGGGCCCCGTCCCCGTGGCCGCAGCCCCGAATGGCCGGGCTCCCGGCCAGCGCACGGCCTGAGCCCGGGTATCCTTCCAATTGAGGTCATCACCAGAGCAGGGCTACGTTACTGGGCGATCGATCTCGGCTTGCATGTCCGCCGTGTCTGCCACGGCGATGTCCCTCTATGTCTCCAACCTTGTGCTCCGCGGCTTCTGCGTGCACATTCTTCTCATCTTCATCTTGATCCTCATCTACTTCTTGACCGACCTCTTCTACCCGTACTTCCCCAGCATGGCGCTGCTGATTCCCAACTTCCTTCCTTGCCGCCGGTTGGGCCCGCGCCTCGGCTACGGAGACAACGGCGGGTTCTCCCACCACCGCGGCATGAGGCGGGCAGTCCGCCCCCGAGCGGGCCCGAGGGTGAGCATCCACTGGGTGACGGACTCGTGTTGGCGCCCTTCAGCGGGGAGATGCACGGCGCCGCATGGAACACCCAGGCGCTCTTCGCGCGGAAGCGCTGCAGGCACATGGCGAAGGACAGTTATGTCAGACGGCTGGCTCGGACGAGGGATTTCGTGGCCCTGTCGGAGACGCACGGTCTGGAGGGCGAGGGTATGGCATGGGATTGCACGCGGGACTGTTTGGCATGGTTTTCTCCCGGGACCTCTCGGAGAGGCGGCGTGGGCCTCGTCGTCAAGAAGTCTTTCCTGGAGCGCTTTGACCCGGCGCTCACGCGGTGGCAGATCATTGTCCCGGGGCGCGCTGCGGTGCTCCGTCTGGTTGGCTCTGCAGGCGCGCTTGACATATACACTGTGTATTTTGCTACATCCAGCGCTTCTGGGCCTCTGCAGCCTCGCGGCAGTACGCAGCAACGCCCTGTGGAGGCGGAGGAGGAGGAGGAGGAGGAGGAGCAGGCGAAGCGGCAACGCAGAGATATGCGATGCAGGTTGGCTGCAGCAATGGCGCCTGCCGGGGATGCCCTGTCTGTGTTGTTGGGGGACTTCAACTGGGTTCCAGATGTCCGCGACCGCTTTGCGAAGGCGACTGGGGAGTACTCCGGCGGGCGGGACGCAGCCGACGAAGCCCATTTTCAGTCAGTCTTGGCGCGACCGTTCGGGTTACATGAGTTGCGGCAGCCGGCTATGACTCAGGACAACGCCGCTGGGCGTTCTCGCCTGGACAGGGTGTATTGGAACCAG